ACATTTACGCAGATCCTTTACTTATATACCAAATTATTAATAACCCTGTGGTTTAGTTTTATGTTTCTAATTAAATGTTTGTTAATATGTCTCACGTGATAGAGTGGGCGGCGATTTCGTGGCCCTTGCGGTGCATCTCCTGAACGGCCGAATAATTGGTGTATTTATGGGACACAAAGAAAGTGGATTTGATTGAACATCCATTCGGATTGTTTCGGCCGTCTTTGAAGATCTTCTCGTAGATATCGATGTTATTGTTGTTAATGGCGTCATCGAAAGAGATCATGATCATTTGGGGCACATTCGCCGGCTCCAGTTTGGCCGGGATTTGGGTGCCGTCCGGCGAACAGAAACAGTCCGGAAGAACGCATTGACTTTGATCGCAAGGCGGAGCTCTGTTCGGGTCCTTCTCCACGGCTAGCGATTAATTGCATAACATTTTTAATGATTTTTTTGCGCACAGATTAGGTTAGAAATCTGTTGTAATATTTAAAATATTTGATAAAATGCACAAAAAAAGTTTTGAGGATATTTTTCTTATCAATAATCCTAATCTCTGAGTAGTTTTATGCAATCACTTGTATTTGAGGACAAATACCAGAAAGTGTTTTTTTGTTGTATTAAATGATTACACAATTAGTAGCGAAGACTTACTGCAAGCGTTTTCATCGGAACCGTCGACACAATCGGGCGATCCGTTACAGAAGAGCTCTTTGTCAATACAGTCTCCATTACCGCAGGCGAGTTTACCCGTCTCGCAGATCGGCTCATCCGTGGCCAGCAGTGGTGCCGTCAAACGGGGCTCTATATGACAAACACAGCGTTAATTTATGTATTGATTTCCAAATTAAATTTAACGCTTACTCTCGAGTTGAGCGCAATTCTTGACATTTGACTTCCAATCGCAGGTCTGTTTGTCAATATCGAAAGCCAGACCCGACGGACACCTGAGTGCCAGCAATCCCTGCACTGAACAGCGGACGACATCCCGACAATCTTCGTCGGCCGTCAGCCGGAAGTACTCACTCGGAGGCCTTCCTTTGCATAATTCGGCGTCGTTTTCATCATTTGCCTGACGTTTGACAATAGATGTGCTCAAAACTAATGGTAAGATTAGGACTCAATTAGTAAAACAGCGTTTAAAGCTATATATTTCCATAATAATGTCAGTAATAATCGTTTCATATCATATCAGTTATCAAATGAACTGTTTTTTATCTCTCTTCAAAACTTAATTTAAAAACTTTTTATTTTAATTTATTTTTCATTAAAAGCGTATCCATTAAACGGATTTTTATTTCACTGACAATAATCAGTGCTTTCATTAAACGTTTGACACGAATATTGCAAATAAAATGGTTATTTAGGATTAGAGTTCACACAAATATATGGCAATCATTTTTTAGTGAGAGTTATCTCATATGTTATGTAATTTTCTTCAACTCTTTCTTATGGAAATCTATTGTTATATTTCGGAAATAAAAAAGTCAGGAATTTTACATTAACTTACAATTAATGTAATTATTATTGGTCCACAAAATGTAATATAACAATAAAAGTTATAAAAACGAGTTTTTATACTGAATTACTTCCGACTTATTTTGTCTGCAAATTCTGTGCATTAAATGTTTGGGAAATTCAAATATAGGTATCAATGGAGACAATGAATGGCGCTTAAGACAGGGATGCGCTAAAGTGACAAAAAATATGCATACAATTTGAGCCTGAATTCAAGCCAATTTGGTAATCAGTTTTTTGATGACCCATTTCAGGCCCAAGTATTAGGTCATCGCCCTATCCCTAAATTACCGCAGAATACAAACTGTTTTACACGAGAGAGAAAAAATTGGTCCAAAAATTTATTTGAATAAATACTTCATATGTTATATAAAACGATATGAAATATAAAATGTTTTTAAAAATAGAGAACAAGATTTATAGATACAGTATATAAAGAAACTCGTGTCTTATTTTTACCTCAATTAGATAAGCATCAAATTCATTGCAATTCATTGGCAAAATTGGTTTTGAAAATAAGTTTTTACACAGTTTT